GGGTTTGTTGAGGTTCTTGGCCTCTGTCTGGGCTAATCTAGGAGGGACTGTTTTTCTAAGTATTTATCCATGTCTTCCACATCTTTTAATTCATTAGAATACAGTCCTTCATAGTACTTTGTGGTTATCATTTTAATCTCATTGGGGTTTGCTGTGATTTCCCCACTTTCATCCCTCATCCTGGATATTGATATTTGCTCCTTCCTTTCCTTGGCTAGGTTCACCAGCAGTCTGTCAATTCTGTTGATCCTTTCATAGAACCAGCTTTTTGCTGCATTAATCTTTGTTCTTTGTCTTCCCACTGGTTTAACTCTGCCCTGATTTTTTATTATTTCTTTTCTTTTGCTATTGGAGAGGTTGTTCTGTTGACTGTGTTATAATTGCTGGAAGTTTTGTGGTAAGGTATCAGTCACAAGCCTCCCTTCTTTTTTCATATATGCATATATTGCTATCAAGCTACCTCTGATAACTGCCTTTGCAATATCCCATGATTTTTGATATGTTGTATTCTCGTTCTCATTAGTTTCTAGAAACTTCCTCTCTAATCTGGGCCAATACCCATTCATGTCGCAGATGATCATTGTTCATCCTCCAATTGTTTGCCCTTACTTATCTAGTTGCCCTTTTATTAACCTCCAGCTTTTAGGCATAGTGATCTAAGAAAGACGTCTGAATAATCTCTATGTGTTTGAATTTACTCAGGCTCGACTTGTGTCCCAGCATGTGGTCTATTCTCAAAAATGAGCTATGTTGGGTTAGGAAGAATATGAATTTTTTTGCATTTGGATGGAAAGCTCTATAAATGTCTACCAGGTCCAGTTGCCTAATTGTTTAGCTCAGAGCCTTCTTGCTGAGCTGCTTTCCCAATGATCTTTCTCTGATAGCAGTGTATTAAAGTCACCAACTGTGATTGTCAAATCTGATTTCTTTTTTCATCTTTTGAAGTTTGTTTGACGAATTTTGCCGGTTCATTGTTTAGAGTGTAAATATTCAATATGCTTGCTGGTTCCTAGTTTACTGGTCCTTTGAGCATTATATAGTGCCCCTCCTTGTCTCTTTTTATGGTTTGAACATTGAGGTCAATTTTGTCAGAGATTAGGATTGCCACCCCTGCTTTTTTTAACTTGTTGTTTGCCTGGTATACTTTCCAACAGCCTTTTATTCATAGTTTATTTTTGTCTGTGCACTTAAGATGTGTCTCTTGTAGGCAACAGATTTTGGGGTATATTTTCTGAGCCAGTCTTCTAGCCTTTTTCTTTTAATGTATGAATTGGATCCACACAATCTGTTGATTCATTGATGTCATCCCGTGCCTTGTGTTGTGGGTGTTTTCCTGTCTCCCTCCATATCAGTGTGCGTTATTCTTGTCCTCTTTTCCCTCTGAGGCCCCATTGTCTTGGTCATTGTTGTCTGCACATTGGCTTCTGGATGGAGTTGGGCTATATGGTGGTCTCCTGCTCGTGGATGTTGGTCCTCTGACCATAGTGAGTCGGCCAGTATCTTCCACAGGGTTGGGTGTCTTGCAGCTTACTCTTTGATTTTTTTCTTTGTCCCGGAAGACCCATATCTCCCCATCTATCTTAATGGATGGTTTGGCAGGGGAGGGGATTCTTGGGCAGGCATTTTTTCTTTCAGCTTTTGGAAGATGTTGCTCCACTCTCACTTCCTCTTCATGGTTCCTGCTGATAGGTCTGAGCATATTCTTACCTGAGCTCCTTTGTATGTGACCGTCTTTCTTTTTCTTGCTGCTCTTAAAATTTTCTCTTTTTCCTTGAAGTTGGATATTTTAACTGTTATGTGCTTTGGTGAGTTCTTCCTCGGGTTTAGCCTAGTTGGTGTCCTCTCTGCTTCCTTTATGAGTGTCTGATTCTCACTCATTAAGGTGGGAAAGTTTGCTTCCTGAAATTCCCTTCCTATTTTATCTGTTGACTTGTTCGTAGTGTCCTGCTTCAGTAAACCAAATTACTCAAATATTTTTCCTCTTCATAGCATCCATCTATCGTTGATCTCAGGTTATCTTCTACCTCTTTTATTATCCTATCTGACTGTCTTTCTCATTTGCTGAGCTCTGCCTGAGTGTCTTTGAGATCGCTAATTCAGTTCTCTGCCTCCTCTAGTCTAATCATAAATTTTGTGATTTTGTGTGTGGCTTCTGCTACCTCATCTGTCAGCACCTGTATTTCCCTTTGGTGCACAGACTTCTTCCCCTCTATCGTGGAATTCATCCCTCCAATTGTGGATTTCATGTCCTCTATCATCGCATCCTTATTCTGCATTGCTTCCCTCAACTCCTGTATAACTGCAAGCACCCTTCTGAAGAGTTCTTCTTTGTGGCAGATCCATGTCTGATTATTCTATGAGTGTCCTTAACTCTGCTTTTGTTTTTGTCTCTCTGGGTTTTTTTTGGTTGAGAAGTGATGCAGTTTGATGCTGTTTCCTTGACCCCTTTGTGGAGATAGGCGCCATGTTTCTGGGAGCCCAGGGGGGCCTGAGCTCTTTCTCTGTGTTACTGATAAGGATGCTTTCAGGGAGCTGTCTGTGGCCTACTATAGAGGTGGCTCAGACTGCCATGTAGGCAGGATTCCACAATGATTCAGTGGTCAACAGTGGTGAGGAGTTTCAGTGACTGGAGTCAGGCTGGAGCCTGTATATATGCCCCTAGGCTGCTTTGAACTGGGCTGTCAGGCCACAATTAGCACCCTTTTTTCTTATTTAATATTTTAATTTTTTTAAAGATGCCTAATAGAAGGCAAAGGTAGGGGAGCCATGCTGGCACAGGAGGGGCTGCTGATCAAAGGCGAAAAAAACCCACTTCCCTGGTGCAGGTGTCTGGGGAGAGCCTCCGCAGGGTGTAGGTGCCTGCCGTTAGTAGGGGCAGCTGCCACATCTGGGGCAGGGAGCATTGCACTGGTTTGGGACAGGCCGCTGCTACTGTGGGTGGTGGGAGTGGAGGAGCCCTGTGTGTAACGAAAAGGCTGAGGGGGCCCAATCAGCAGGTGTTGGATGCGACGGGGTTTGAGACAGTGTGGCCGATGTGGACTGGGAAGCCCTTGGATTCGGGTCGCTTATCCCCTGGGCTCTGGAGCCAGGCTAAAGTGTGGGGAATGTAGGCTCTTTGGTCCAAGGATGCACTCCCCACTGCTCCCGTGGGCCTGCGACGCTAGGGAATTACTAAACCAATGCCGTCAGGAGCGGTGCCAGCAGGAGCGGGGAGAGCTGGGGCTGCCATGGCAGGAGTGCTCCGCTGTGGATGGGGGCACGGTGGAGGGGTCTCAGGCAACGGTGCAGGGGGGAGGAGCCCCCTAGTCACAGGTCACTTAACCTGCTACAGGTAGACTGCAGGTCAGTTCCTGGGGCCCTGGGTGAATGGAAGGAGCAATCTGAGCTTGGCCGTGGATCACCACCAATTTAACCTCAGTTCTTAACCACTGTTATTCTGGGTATAATTATCTAGGTGCATACACAAACCCATAAGAGTAGACCAGAAAAGGAAAAAGAGAGGGGAATAAAAAGAGCTGGAAAATCGGACTTTCACGTTTTCTTGGCTCATAAAGTCAGGTTCGAGAAGGTTTCATTGACGTTTCTCCCTTCTCCGTAACCATCGCAGTCTTTTGAATGCTAGAATCCGAAAGACCAGTCCTTCTTTGTAGAGATGAAAGAAGAAGAGGCAGAGACGGCCTTGACATGCTCAGAGCACACGAGGTAGGGCCAGAGCAAGGAGGCGCGGTGAATCTGGGAGGAAATCTTCTGCTCTGCCGTCCACTCCACCCAAGCCCTTTTTTCACCCAGCTGTGACCTTGCCAATTTCATCACTCAGTGACTCTCTTCCTCTGAGAATTTCTCCCTCATAGCCGATTCACTAATCACCACCAACATGTGACTTTCTTTGGGCCGTGGGGTCCAGTAGGCCTGTCTAAGATAAGTTGTGAGGCAGCATAATATAGGGACTAAGTATGGAAACAGATGACCTGGGCTCAAATCTTGACTCTTCTCTAAGCAGTGCAGCCTTGGCTGTGTCCTTTCATCTCAGCATGCCTCGGTTTCTTCATCTGTTGAACAGTTATAACAACAGTACCTATTTCAGAGGGTTAATAATGATTGAGTGAGTAGCTGTTTCACAAAGGGCAAGCATATAAGCGTTACATAAACATTAAATTTGCCAACTGATATGTATGTATATGTCAACATATATGTTGACTGTGATGTATATGTCACAGAGAAGGAAACCATCTCAGAGAAGGTACATGGCCTTTCCAAATTCATGAGATGGAAAAAAAAAAGCAGAGCTTTAGCCTTTGCCCTGGCTGTTGGCAATGCCACATGCCATCTAATGCCTGGTCCCTACTGCTTGGTCCCATCAGAGTCAAATGAGAGAGCTTCAGGCCATTGGTGCTGGCTACAGAGGGTAGCCCAGATGAAATCATTGTGAGGTTCACAATTCATGAGGATGTAAAATCTAGTAAGCAAATGGAATCTAATACTGGAAATATTTGTTACCCTTTCTAATCTTGAGCCCTAATGGCATAGTGGTTACAAGTTGGACTGATAATTTCAATGGCAGCAGTTCGAAACCACCAGCCACTCCTTGAGAGAAGGATGGGGCTTTCTACTCCCATAGAGTGTTATAGTCTTAAAAACTCACAGGAGCAGTTCTACCCTGTCCTGTAGAGTCTCTGAGTCAGCATTGACTTGATGGCATTAAGGATGAGTCTTTTCTGATCTCAACGAGCCAGTTAGGCCCCGCTCCCTTTCTTTGTGTTAATAGAACAGCTCCTATTAAGCTCACGGCAATGTATAATTACATTATCTAGTGGACTAACCCACTGTCCATGCCTATATTGGTGGGAGCAGTGAAAGGATCTGTTTCTTTATTACCAGCAACTGACACTGCTCGGGGGTGCTGTCTGTACACCTGTGGAATGGCTGGGGATTCCTTAAGATTTTCACTGTTGGATCCAGGAGCTCTGGCAGCAGTTCCTCACTCATGCCCATCGTTGCAGGTTAATGGGGTTGACTTACGGAGTGCCAGCCATGAGGAGGCCATCACAGCCCTGAGGCAGACCCCACAGAAGGTGCGGCTGGTGGTGTATCGCGATGAGGCCCACTACAGAGAGGAGGAAAACTTGGACATCTTTCCGGTGGACCTGCAGAAGAAGACTGGCCGAGGACTGGGGCTCAGCATTGTTGGGAAAAGGTAAAGAAATGCAAGTGGGCTCTTTCTCAAGAGTTGTAGGGATTGATGCTGATTAGCACCAAAAGATACAGCCTAACACAAAGTAGTGGGGTGATTTCTAAAGTTCTGCTATTTCTGACTGATTGAACAAGGCCTTCACAAAAATTCAAATGCCATATTACGATAGAGCTCCAGGATCAATCCACCCAGACCCTTATTGCCTGGTAGAATAAGGACAGGATCCCTCAAGTTCCTTCAGGGTGCGGTCATCTACCACTGAGGCTCGCCAGGTGTCAGTTAAGGCAGTCACCCCTCAGGAAGAGCTGATCTCAAGAAGAGAGGTGCATTTAGGCAATACCGGGCATGCACTGCCACTCAGTATAGTGTCTGCATTTCACACTGTGTGAAAGATAGTTGGGAAGACATCATTGAGGCACAGATATGTTGTCCACAGGACCATGGCTTCTGATTAAGATGCCCTGTACAGAAGGGTCGTGGGGAGGAGACAAGCCAGTCAGGGTGCAGTGTAGCAACTATAAAACATACAACTTTCCTCTAGTTCCTAAATGCTTCCTCCCCGCCACCCACCCACCCACCCACACACAAACTATCATGATCCCAATTCTACCTTACAAATCTGGCTAGACCAGAGGATGTACACTGGTACAGATAGGAACTGGAAACGCAGGGAACCCAGGGTGGATGATCCCTTCAGGACCAGGGGTGAGAGTGCCAGTACCGGGAGGGTGGGGTAGAAAGGGGGAACCAATTACAAGGATTTACATATCACCTCCTCCCTGGGGGATGGAAAATAGAAAAGTGGGTGAAGGGAGACGTCGACAGTGTAAGATATGACAAAATAATCATTTATAAATTATCAAGGGTCATGAGGGAGGGGGGAACGGGGAGGGAGGGGGGAAAATGAAGAGCAGATGCCAGGGGCTTATGTGGAGAGCAAATGTTTTGAGAATGATGAGGGTAACGAATATACAAATGTGCTTTATACAATTGTTGTATGTATAGATTGTGATGAGTTGTATGAGCCCCCAATAAAATGATTAAAAAAGAAAGAGAGAGAGAGAGAAAGAAAGGTAGGCGCCATGGCGTGGACTAGCTTGCACTATAACTGAGGACAGAGCTGGTGGCCGGGCTGCACTGCTGCTTACCCATGTGATGTGAATTACAGTAATTGGTCCAGGAGACTATTAGTAGGCTCTCTCTTGCAGTTTATGGGAGAGGTAGGTAATATCCTGAAATGGTAATTCTAGCGTGCATGGTGTACTGGCTTTAAAACATCCAGTGTGTATTAATTCCAACAAGGCTGCAGAATTTCCAGGCGATGCTCCAAGTTTGCCTTAGAGTGTACCAACCATCCCCTCAGGAAGCATTCAGATAGATAGCATCTTATGTGGCCTAGGGCTTGGCTCTGGTATTCCAAGTTGTTACGAAAATTAAAAACAAAAAACTAGTCTCCATTTTTGTGTCGTCGTTACCTCATGTTTTCCTTCAGCACCATAAAAACGTTGTCCCTCTGAAAAACACAAATAAGTGCTAAACAAGATCAGCCCACTTCTGGAGGCTGACGGAGTCCCCCAGAAGTTTGCTTTCCTATTGTGAATTGCATATCCCTGGAGAGGCTGCAGTTTTAAAAGGTGGGTTTGTGTCCTGTTGTCTCTCCTTACTTTAGGTTGGATTTATCAGGAGCATTTACATTCCTTAGCACAAAGCAGTTCCATTGTAAAGGATCACATGGACTGTTCTCAAAATTCACAACTCACTGTGACCCACAATTCCATCACTCAGAACACTTCCAGGACACTTTAGTCTCTGCAACATGTTTGCAGTCACCGAAGACTGGAAATAACTCACAGTCCATCAATAGGTTACTAATGAGATGAAATTATGGAGCATCTGGTATAGCCTACTATGTAGCCATCAAAAGCAAGAAGGGATATCCAGGTACTGATTAGAACCAATATTGCCAAACCGTACTTAATTGGGGGTGAGGGGGATGTAAAGAGAACAAAACTGGAAAAGTGTGTGTGTGTGTGTGTGTGTGTGCGCGCGCGCGCGCGCGAGCACTTCATTCTTTCACATGCATGTGAACTACACACATGAATTTGCTTCTGTGTATCCAAAATGTTTGTTGGAGATACCCAAGTGTGGGTAACATTGGTTGCCTACCAAAAAAGGCACTTGGGTACTGGGGAACAAAAATGAAGGGAAAACTTTCAAGTTACATCTTTTTTAACCTCTGTTATTTTGAGCCATATAATTGTATTGATTTGTCAAATGAAAAATACAGTGACAACTCTAAAGTAACCAGGGAAGGAGTGACGAGGAAGGAAGGAAGGAATAATCAGAAGCTAGATGGGGTTAGGTGCAGTCCAGTGGGTTCTGACTCCTGGTGACCCCCGTGAACCACAGAATGAAGCACCGCCTGCCCCTGCACCATCCGCACGGTTGTTGAGGTTTGAAGCCGTTATTGCTGCCACTGTGTCAATCCATCTCATTGAGGATCTCCCTCTTTGTCTCCTCCCCTCGCTGCCTTACAAAGCATAATGTCCTTTTCCAAAGTACGTGGGACGAAATCTCCCCGTCTTCCCTTCTAAGCAGCGTTCCAGCGGTACTTCTTCCCACCCAGATGGGAGGTTTTTTTGGCAGTTCCCAACACCTTCAGTGACTTGCCATGAACTGCCAGAGGAGCAAAGTTTCCAACAGCTTCATTCAAAGAAATCAATTATTCTTTGGTCTTGCTTATTGATCGTTCAGCTTTCTCATGCATATGAGTCCATTTAAAATATCCTGGCTTCGGTTAAGCCTACGGATGTCATCCAAGGACGTCTTTGCTTTGTAACTCTTTAAAGAGGTCTTTTGCAGCAGATTAGCAAATGGTGCAGTATGTCGTTTTTATTTCTTGACTGCTGCTTCCAATGACATTGATTGTGGATCCAAGTAAAATCAAATCTTCGACAACCTCACTCTGTTCTTCGTTCACCAGGATGTGATTGTGGATCAGTGGTAAGGATTGTGTTTACTTTCTTTGGAGGTGGACTGAAGGCCGTAGTCTGTGATAGCCATCTGGAAGTGCTTCAAGTCCTCTTCACGTTCCACAAGCAAGGAGGTGTCAGTTGCATATCAGATGATCAGTGAATCTCCCTCCCATCCCAGTGCCCCATTCTTCTGCATTTAGCCCAGCTTCTCACGGCTCACATGGACTATTCGCACAGCATACAGATTGAATAAGTATGGAGAAAAGATAGAGCACTGATCCACACCTTTTCTTACTTTAAACCATGTAGTTTCCTTTTGGAAACCTGTAGGTATACTGGGTTACACATGGGGCTGATAACCACCAGGTCAGCAGTTCAAACCCACCAGCTTCCCTGTGGCAAGATGAGGCATTTTACTCTCATAAAAATTTATAGACTCAGAAACCCAGAGGGATGGGCAGCTCTACTCGGTCCTATTGAATCACTGTGAGAACTGACTCATTGGAAATGTGTTGGTTCTTGTGTTGGTTTTGTTCAAATGACTGCCTCTTAGTCTGTGCACAGGTACTGCACGTACAGTTCAGTGTTCTGGGAATTCCACTCTTTCCAGTGTTTTCCATAATTTGTTATGGCACAAATAACCCATATCAATAAAACACAGGTAAATATTTTTCTGCATTCCCTACTTTAAGCCAAAATCCATCAGATAGCAATGATGATAATCCCTTATTCCACATTTTCTTCTAAGTCTGACGTGAAATTCTGCTAGTTCCTGGTTGATGTCTTGCTGCAACTGATTTTGAATTATCTGCAGCAAGATTTTACTTGGCATGTGATATTAATGATAGTGTTCGGTTATGTGTGCCTTCATTGGATTGCCTTGCTTTGAGATTGTCGTATATACAGATCCCTTCCAGATTCTTGGCATAGATGAGGAGCCTTCCAGCAATGGATCCACTTGTTGAAACATCTCAATTAATATTCCAACACGTGTTGGAGCCTCACCTCCAGTGCAACTTGGGTTTCTTTCTTCACTATTATCATGCTTGAAATGGTTGAGCGCCGACCAATTCTTTTTGGTACAGTGACTGTGTGCATTCCTTCCCTCTCCTTTTGATTCGTCCTGTCCTGCATTATTCAGCTTTCTGCCCCATAGAATCTTTCAGTGTTGCATCTCAAGGTAGAATTTTTCTTCGGTTCTCTCAGTTTGAGAACATTGAGCATGGATTTGCTTTTGGTTTTCTAGCTGGGTCTTTCGTCGTTTCATTATACATTGTCTCCTTGAGATGACCTTTGAAAGCTTCTGGCCAGCTCTTTACTTCATCCTTTCTTCCTTTCGTCTTGACCGTTTCATGTTCAAGAGCAAGTTGAAGAGTGTCCTCTGACTCTAAATACTCAAGTTTGTACTTTGGCTTGCATGAACTTGTTTTAATTTTCTTCTGTTTCAACTTGAACTTGCATATAAGCAGTGGATGGTCAATTCCACAAATGGCTGCTGGTCTTGTTTTTACTGGTGATATTATCTCTTTCCACAAACATAGTTGACTTGATTCCTGCATATTCCATCTGGCCAGGTCCACATGTATAATTCCTCTGTGTGCTGTTAAAAATAGGTATTTCAAATGTCTAGGTCACTGACCTTGAAAAATTTTGTCATGAAATCTCCAGCCTCGTTTCTGTCATCATTGTCAGATTCTCAAACTACTGATGCCTCTTATTTCCAACTTTCACATTCCAATCACTAGTTATTACCAATGCATCTTGATTGCATTATTGGGTGGTTCATAAATTTGAATAATATATTAACTGAATTTCCTTACAGACATCTGATGATTATCCTATCGTTGGCTGTATTGTACTTCCAGCTAAATCTTGAAATGTTCATTTTTAACAATCAATTCATTATTCCCAGCAAAGGAGACCATCTGCTCAATTCAAAATGACCAATGCCCATCTATTTCAGTTCACTACTACCTAGGCTATGAATTAAGTATTTCATTTAATTGGGCTGCTAATTATGAGTTCAATGGTTCAAACATCCTAGCAGTTCTACAAAAGAAAAATGAGGCTGTCTGTTCCTGTAAAGATTTATAATCTTGGAAACCATACATAGAGCCAACATTTGTCAGAATGGAGTCGATGGCATTGGACTTTGTGTTTCTAATGATCTTAGATTCATATTTTGCACATCCAAGTTCAGTTACTAATGAGCATTTCAGCTGCTGCTTCTAACTGCTCCGACACGTCATACCATGTATGAAGGCCCTGAAAGCTTCACTCTGTCTAGTCAGCTCCATTTTGGGGCGGCAGCTTTTCCCCAGACAGATTTCTCGTGCCTTCCAATGTGAGGGGCTCGTTTTCCGGCACTACGTCGGATGGTGTGCCGCTGGTTTGTTTTCGCTGGCCCTTGTTTTCTCAGAAGTCAGTCCGCAGGTCCTCCTTTCTCAGTGCCTCTTATTCTGGCAGCGCCACTGAAACCCGACTACCGCAGCTGACCCTGCGCCCTTTGGAGTATTGGTGGCCCAGTACCATGCAAGCCTCCACAGTACAAGAAATTGACAGATGGGTGGTAGTCATTGTATAACCTTCTTTAGGGAAATAGCCTGTAAATTTTAAGAGTAGTTAGCTCTGCCTTTCAAAGGGAATTTCCATTTCACTGAAATTGTCATTTTGCAGAACTTATACCTGTGGCCAAGAAAAATGGATATTACAATAAGCAGCATAATAGGCATAAACAATTTAACAGGTTAGCTCTCTGAAGTTTATCATTGGGAGTTAATATTGTGTTATGTGGGTTCATCAGGTTTTTCCTTCCCCGTTTTAGGATTGAGGGTATCTATGTAGAATATCCGAGCCCTGGTAGCAGAGTGGTTACACATTGGGTTGGGATCTGAAAAGTAAGCAGTTCAAAACCACAGTTGCTCCTCAGGAGAAAGACAGTGCTTTCTAGTCCCGGAAACAGTTATCGTTTTCAGAAACTCACAGGGCAGCCTGGCCTGGCCTGCAGGGTTGCTATGAGTCAGCATCAATTCGATGGCAGTCAGTGTGGTTTGGGGTTTTATAGAGAATATCAAGAAGCCCCGGTGGCGCTTCCAGTAAGTGCCTGCCTGCAAACCTCAGGGTTGAGGGCTCCCTCTGTGAGAGAAAGAGGGAGCTATCCGCGCCTGTAATAGTGGTGGCAGCCTCAGGACCCCTGTGAGGTCACTCGGATTTGGACTTGACTCAGTGACGGTGGGTTTCAGGTTGGTCTTGCATGTCAGTAACCCCAGACTTAATAAAAGGTTGTGCTAAGACCGCACTGCTTTATGCTTATCCACAGAAACGGAAGTGGGGTGTTTATTTCTGATATTGTGAAAGGCGGAGCTGCAGATCTTGATGGGAGGTTGATTCAGGGAGACCAGATCTTGTCTGTGAATGGAGAGGACATGAGAAGTGCCTCGCAGGAGACCGTGGCCACTCTCCTCAAGGTGAGTCCCGCAGCTGCTCGGCTGGCAGAGCTCAGCCCAGGGCCGACTGTTCTAATCCACCTGGATTAAAAAACGGGCTGAGTTTTATGAGCCCCATTTTTCACTAGATAGCTTAGAGTCTGGACAATCAGCATAGATTGCAATGAAAGTTCTGTTTTATTGATTAACAGCACTTGGCAGGGACCCTGATTTGAAATTTTCAAGCGCCTTTGCCGAGCTTGTGGGATTTCCAGAAGTCCACAGTTGTCCTCCATGCCTCTGATGAATGACTCTTTGACTTAGGGACTTCATCCTTCTCCCTCAGGCCGTGTCCCTGAGCATATTATTGCCTAGTCTGCAAGCCCAGCCATTGCTGTTCAGAGGAAAACTAGAGCTTTGATAGTGCAGTTCCCAGGCCACGCATGACCTATGACCACAGCATAGGTCGCTACCCAAGCCACCCTCCCACCCAAACTGTCTCTCCCTTACATTCAAAATTCACTGCCAAGTGTCTCTCCCGCATCAACGCTACTTCCCATGGATGAAACTGGTCAACAAAAATTCTTGTCCATTTCCACTCAACTATTAAACCCCTGCCATGGCTACCCAATGTGTGTCAGTTTTGACAAACAATATTGAATATATTCAATAGCTAATTTTTGAAGTTGATCACCAGGCCTTTCTTCTAAGGCACCCACCCTTTTGGTTAGCCGCTGAAAGCATTGACAATGTACATTTTGTTCTGTTTCACAAATGGCAGCGGCAGCTTTTGCAAGGACAAGTGGCTTTTGTTCATTTTAAAATCCCCAGGGCCAACGTTCAGTTGTTACTCAAGAAACAGTTGTATTTGTAGATCCACCTAGGTTTGGTTTTTCCATACTGCCTTCCTCCCCCAGGAGTCCTGGAGGTGTAGTGATCACAAATTAGGCTGCTAACTGCACGGTCAGTAGTTCGAAACCACCGGCTACTCTACTGGAGAAAGATGAGACTTTCTACTCCCATAAAGAGTTCCACTCTCAGAAACTCACAGTAGTGCTACCCTGCCCTATAGAGTCGCCATGAGTCAGAATGGATTTGACGGCAGTGAAGAGAAGTGAATTGAAAGCATTCCTTTCAAGTCCATGCCGTCAGCATGTGGAGCAGTCCACGAGATGGAAATGTTGATGTGTTCCGAACTTTTATTACTTCATATGATTTGATTACTAAGTTTCCTTTGTCTGGGCCCTTTATCGCCCATTTCCAATTCTTGACTGCGGAGCCGAGCGCAGGCCGGGCTCTGGTGCTTTCAGAAACCAAAAGCTCACCATTGTGCATTTCTGCCCTCTCTTCTCTTCCCAAGTGTGCTCAGGGGCTCGTGCAGCTCGAGATTGGGAGACTTCAAGCTGGTTCCTGGCCCTCCTCGGGGAGGACATCCCAGAATCGCCAGGTTCGTGACGACCGACTGACCCTCCAGCCCTTACCTGCGTGAACGTTCCTTCCTTCATAAATGAGGGTTTGATGGTTATGTCTAACACGAATATAGAGCAGATTCACAACACCAAGTTCATTATATTCTAATATGTTTGAAAGAGGGCTTTTGAACTGGTTCGTTCTGGCTCAACCCCTGCTAGGAATTTGCATTTTCACCCCAGACATACCAAATCAATGTACATTCTATCAGTTTGTAGTTATCTCTGGGAGCTTGGGAAAAATAGAGACTCTGATTCAGTATACCTGGGACATAAATGCAAATTCTAAGCAGGTGCACGAACTGAATGAGCCATTTCTAAAGTCTAGTTTTAAATGAAATCAAAACGTGGGATGGGAACTCATTCATCTCCCTTTATGGCTGTCTAGAGTTTTCTAAGAACCATGTTCTGTCTATTCTAAATTGCCTATGCATGGGTGTACACAGCTGTGTTTATTTTTAAAAGAAGGAAGGAAAGTAACATCTGGTGACAATTTGACCCTCATTAGCACAACATTGTTCTGTTCATTCAATTAAATATTGCTATAAAGTTAGCTTGTGAATAGCCACTCACACATGGTGAGGGCAATTAATAGTATATTCCTAGGAGAGCAAAGAATGTGGGGTCTCTCCTGTGGGTTTCCCTCATGGTGGGTGATATTTTGTGGGTTAGAAAACATCTTATATTTATTTGCAAGGCTGACGTAAGTGCTACTTTTCTTAAAAACCACGTATTTCACTGCTTCCCCCCCACCCCCACCCCATCCCCATTATAACAGCTGACAAACATGAAGACTGTAGAGCTATATGTTTAGTCCCATTTGGTGTATAACGAGACTATAGAAAGTTTCATGTCACCCTCAATCCCTTCTGTAGGTTATGGATGGGTCTTTGTTTGCGGGGGGTGGGGGGGGGCAGGAGGGAGTCTTTGTTTTATAAATAAAAATAACTTTTGCTCCTTCCCCTTGCTACCATTAACTTAAAAGCCTAAGGCCTTTGTTCAGAAAGAGATGCTTTGATTTTCCGGTTAGCCCATAGGTACTCCTTGAATGTTATTGGCTGCTTCCTTTACCTCTGGAGTTAGAAAATGGATGAGAAACACGTGTTAGCACAGACTAGCTGACTGCTCTCAGAGAATTCTCAGAGCAGTCAAACCTGCTAAGCACCAGGTTACATTCTAGATGTTTTTTCATTTCTGGCTTCCATATGGACAGTTACTCAATAGCATATATACTAAGAGACTGTAGGATTTTAGGAGAGTTTCTGGTGATGATTCTAACTAGACTTGTATGAGGAGGATTCAAAAGGCTTCAAAAGGACAATGGAAGGAAAAGACACTAGGTTAAATATAAAGCTAACCTGTTCAGGAGCTGCCAAATAACCCCCATTATCATTTATCTGGTATGTGAATGTGAGCTGCCATATTTTCTTAAATATCGATCCCTAACCTTCTTGCACAGACTTTTTTATTTCACAGCATGAAAATGGAACTCAATTTTAAAATAAAAAATCATAAAGCTTATTTCTCTTCTTCTTGTCCTTAACATTATGGCCAAGCTATGATTGGTTGTACTGATAAATTGGCCAATTAGAAGAAGGGGGCATCTTTCATCATCATGAGTGGAAGAGCAGCCCCTGACCCAGATGGAGAAAAAGAGGAGAGATCTCATTCGCAATCAAATCCAGATTTATCTAAAGCAGTCAGGACCCCCAGACACACAGCTCTTATAAGATACGGGTAATTATCAGACAGGGAGTTAGCGGCCTTCGTTTGAGGGCCGAGGGGAATCACAGGCCCTTGGCTTCACTTACAGAAAGTGATCTCATTAAGAGAGAAATTTTGGTTCTGAGGCCACCAAATGGATTCTTTCAAAGTAATTATTTTGATTCATCAAGAATGAATCTTTATAGAGAAAAGTGTGTAATAGGGGGAGGAGGTGGTGAAACACTTGAACTTATTGCTTTGGTGGGAATACAACCAGGCAAAGTACATCTTTGTAAAAACCATTACAAACACACTTTCCCCTGAGAGTGTTAGATTAACTCTATAATGTCCTGTTATTTCCCCAATCCTGATTAATTTTCTGTTGTCCCACCATTAGTTTAATCATATTATGAACTCACATTAAAATATCTATCCATTGTGAACTGTATCAACATCAGCAGCTTACTTTAAGATTTTTAAAAGAAAAGTTGAAGGCTAGAAAGTTGAATGATATATATATGAAATATTTACCAAAAAAGTACATGGTGAAACATTCCTTTTAGAATCTCTGTAGTATACATATTTAAATGTCTTCTTTCAACTTTCCTATGTGATATTTTTTATATTTAAGAAATATTGAACAACTTATGTCATAGAATTAAGGAAATAGGTCAAATTATCATTTGTCAACTAATAATTGTGAGCTTGGGCTTAGCTTAAAATGGAAGAATTATTCATAGTTTTTATACTTTGGTACAAAATTTATTCTTTATGGGCCCTTGTACATGAAAAGGTCTTTTTGCTATGTGCCTGATTTTCATGCAGCAGCCTCTAGCCATAAAATAATTATACATTGTAGATCTCAAATATTCCTTTAAATAAATAAAGGGACCAATAACAGAGAGAGAGCTTGATTAGACCGAAGTACTATGGATGCCTGGAAAATCTGTTAGGGAAACTATGCATAACATATATTCCTAAAGTAGGTCTCTTCCCCTTGAAAGTTGCTGCTTTCTCCTACAATTGGGATTTCCAGTTGGCTGAGTTCCCATTAGTCTAGGTTTTATGAGCATTGCTTTAGTAAAATATGTAAGGTAACTTGGATGATAGAAAAAATAACTGCTGACTTTAGCCACAAATAACACACTTGTCGGTTGCCATTGAGTTGATTTCAATTCCTGTCCACCCCATGTAGGAACACTGTGCTCCCTAGCATTTTCTGTGACCAGTTTTTTAGTAGATTGATCACTCGTTCTTTCTTTCAATATGCCTCCGAGTGGGCTCAAATCTCCCACCTGTTAGCAGTAACCATTTGCGCCGCCCAGTAACTCCAAACGGCACATTTGTGCTTGTTCCAGGACCATCTGTAAAGACCATGTAACGACCCAGGGCAATGTCTTTGTAGCTCATGGGAAAGGACAGCATAAAGTTGGTGAGACAGGAGGTCGTTTTCTGCCTTGATCATTGAAACCATTCATGAAAGCTTATGCATTGAAGAAAACAGTGGTAAATAAGGTTATATTAGGGTGGCAAGAACATTCAGCCAATTTTTTTCTTTGTCTTTTTTCGCCTCATCAAAATTGTCTCTAACAGTCATAATTAATGTGATTCCATAAATAAGATGTAAATCATAACAGTAAGTATGATTCTTTTAGACGAATCTTTCATCACAGCTAACAGCTGGGTTTCCTTTTCAGGGGAGTCGGGGGAGTCAGCAGAGCACACACAGCTTCTTCCTTCCATCCATCGCCCCGTGCATTTCCAGCCTCCAGAGCCTGGTCGGCCCCAAAAGAGCGTCCAACCCTTCTCCCCCAGATCCAGGTATTATTTGTATACGAATCATCCTGGTGGTGCTTTTTATGAATCTGTGCACTTGACCACATTTCCCAAGCCGAAAGGCTTTGATTGCAAAGGGAGTAAAAACCACAGAGATTCCTTTTTGAAGGTCCCTTTAGCTTTCTACAAATACATGTGAACAAGAGAAAAGCCCAAATCCAAAGTGCTTCGTAAAATAAGTCCCCTTACAAAGAAAGCATTCATAAATTGCAGCTCCTTGGTAGCAGGTTGGGGGTGAGGTAAAGTTAGGGGTCTTGGTCTTTCATTAGGCGGAGGGCTACCTTTGATTAAGGGAGAGAAGTGGACAGTGTACTGCAAATGGTTCATCCTCTAAGCCATTCCATCACCTTGTGCCAGGCAGCTGCTGCGGCAGCCCATCAGCTTGCCGGACTCGGTGATGATGCTGCTTCTCCGTCAAGTGGAGAGGCCTTTGTCGTAGAGGACAGAGGCCCTAAGCAGTGTCGGCCGGTTCAGACATTGAGAAAAGGCAGCGTGCCCTGCTTGTTTTCACATTCGCTCTTGGAAGGTCTAGAAGATGATAACACCTTCAGGGAATAATTCTCTATTCTAATTATATGATCTCTTCATTTTGAACATTTTATTCCGTTGTTTCTTTATTTTTAGGCATAGATACAGGACCAAGGACCGTTGAGATCATCAGAGTAAGTCAATGATTTTGCTTTTTTATTATTTTTTTTCTTTTTCTGGTGATTTGACTTTGCCTAAAATACACATTTTCTCCTTAGTAAAATTTATTAAATTGTTTCTCATGTGCTTTCAAGTTCCTGAATTCAGTGTATTGTTTATGTAACACAAACAAACTGACTTAGAAAAATGCATTTAAGCACTAAGATGACCACTGTAGGTTTCTTTTTTTAAAAAATTTTTTACACGGACCTATCTACTACATGGTGTGCATGCATGTGGTGTGTGGGTGTTTATACTGTATAAAACAAAGCCTATTATCATATTAATATTAGACTTAGGCCAAGCTTTTGTTTACTTGGCAGAAAGCCTGTCCATTGGGGGTTATTTTATAGTATCTTGCATGATTTTTATTGGTTGCATCATATACCATCACATGAAAGTACTATGATTTTCTTAGCCCACTTTCTCTGATAGAGCAATTAGCATATTTTCCAACTTTTGATGTCTTTTCTAGAAAACCATCTTTGTACTGTGATTTTTGCCCATGTGATGAATGATTTCCTGAGAATTAGTACTTTGAAATCAATTTACTGAATCAAAAAGGATTCTTGATGCCATGTTTAAATTGCCTTGCTAAGACGGTGTAAGATGCCTTTAAAGTCCTATGGTTCTCAAACCCTGATTTTCATACTCCATGATATCTAGAATATTGGAACGTAGAGACAACCTCAGCTTTAGTTAGTCTGACTGCAAATTGGGGATTCACGAGGTAGTACAAAATTATGGCCTTCAGGCTTGGGCATCTCCGACCCGTGTTGCAGAGCAAAGCGGCTCGAGGCGGAGTGGGCGGCAGCCGTCGTCATGCCCCGCCCCCTCCAGCCCGAGGGTGGCGCGTGCGCTTGCATGAAGGAGGACCTGGCTGGCTGTGTGCTGCAGTCGAAGACGCTTTTTTGACCGTCAAAGGTCCATGTTGGATACCAGATCCAGATTCAGAGGGAAGAGAGGATACTGTAAACGAAAAGGGCGGAGGCATGTCTCTGGCCTGGTCACGAATGCAGACAAGCCCACGTCCGAAAGACACTGCTCGCTGTATCTGCCGGGCCCACCTGGGTTTCCCTCCGACAGAACTGCGGGGGATGGATGAGCTCTGTTTGCACGTAGAAGAAAAGATTTAATGGATCAATTAGGGACACAAAGTCAATGTGTCTTGAGAAGTGGTAGAACATTCTTCGAAAGAACGATGAATAGAAGGATTGTTGTGTTCAAACTTGAGTCCTCAATCAAGTGGCATCATTGTGAATATTACCAATGTGACGAATGAATAGCTTGGAGGCTGGAGCGAAGATATCTATCAGGATGGTGTAGGCTAAAATCTTATTTTATGCAGTTGTCCCTAGTTTTAAAATAAATTGTGTTTGACTGGTTGGGCGGGGTGGGGGTGGGGGGACAAAAGGAATTACGACATTGTTTTAATCCCAGTTTATAGGAAAGTAATACACATCATAGCTTTATTCTCTGGAGTCCAGCACAGATGTGTTTTTGAAGGTACCTTCACTATTTGTTGGTGAAGAGTGGTTACACATTGGGATACCAAACCTATAACGTCAGCAGTTCAAAACCACCAGCCACTCCATGGGAGAAAGATGAGGCTGTCCACTCCTATAGGAGTAAAAGCCTCAGAAACTCACAGAGACAGTTCTACCCTGTCCTGTAGGGTCACTGTGGGTCGGAATTGACTTAATGGCAGTGCGTTTCAATTTCACGTTGATTAGGAGCATGGTGGTGCTATGGGTTAGGCTTTGGACTACTAACAGCAAGGGCGGCAGCTCAAACCCACGTGCCACTGGGTAGGAGAGAGATGAAGCTGGTTGTTTCTATCAAGATTTACAGTCTGGAAACCCTACATGAACGAGGTCATTCTGAGTCGGAATCAACTATAAGACCGCGGGTTTGGGTTCACCAGGTATTCGCTCTTTGGGTTCTGATGGGCCACTCAACTTTTCTCATCTGTAGAGCGGGAATGTTAGTGCCGCAAACCCAATTCCTCCAAACTTCCGGAGTGGTTTCTCTGATTTTGCACCCCCACCACAGTGTGTAATTGACTCTTCCAAGACCTAGAGGGGAGGCTTTCTTTTATCTTGGCAAGTGTCCTTTGGCATGGTGGACTTCTGCCTCCATGCTGAAACTGGACATTGACACTCATCCCTTTAATGCTTTTTTTTTAAATACAGTGAAACCAGAAAGAGCTGGCACTCAGAGTCTGCCATGTCTTTTTAGGGCTGCAATGTCCCTGTTTTTAACCAGGTGCAGTTAGCAATTTTCTGTCACTTGTTTTAGTGGGAAATATTTGAGTTGTCCTTTTCTGATAGATTTCCAAGTCACACCGGTTCCAGCGTTCTCCAATTCTACTGTATTGCCTCTGAGTCTGTGGAAACAGAGGCTAGAGCCAGATGGAATGCCTTCATCAATGTCCCGGCGAACTGAGTGGCCTCACAGAAGGGTCTTCAGGAATATTTTCTGTCACTCTTACTTCTCTCCCCTGCCTCCACTGTCACCACACTGGCTGTCCTCAGAGAGCCTTAGTTGTAACCACGATGTGCAGCTCCTTCACAGCCAAATGTGTTTGTTCACGCGAGAAGAGCATGCGATGTGTGGCAGCTTCATCATAAACACCATCTGGGTAGTTACTTGCCAAGGCTGCATCAGAACCAGCCACTCAGCTGAGCAGTGGCTTTTCTCACTGGTACGGTTGCCATGTATTCAGGCTTTTCCGAATGGCGGGCCTACGCTTCACCATCTCATCTAATCCTCATCCCTTACACCGTGAGGGTAGGCGGTATCCTTCCTATCGTATCTGTAGAGATGGAGACTCTAATGGGCTGTGTAAGTCCGGGAAGACTAGAGAAACAAATCCAGGGAGACTCACGTGTTTAAGAGAGAGCTTTATATCAAAGAGTAATTGTATATGGAGAAAACATCTCAATCTAGTCCAGATCAAGTCCATATGTCTGATATTAGCCCATGTGTTCAATACCAGTCTATAAATTCTGCTTCAGACTCATGTAACACATACAATGACACCAAATGCAGGAAGATCATGGGCCAGTGGGTAGAAAGTCTTGTGGATCCAGTGGTGGTGGAAGCATCTCAGCGCTGGCAGGGGTCTCCACGTGGCTCCTCCAGTTCCAGGGCTCTAGTGTAGCTGCAAGTGTCTTGTCAGCAGGAATACAAAGCAGAGAGAGAGCCTGTATCTGGCCTCCAGTGAACTAGTTATCTCCATTTGTGCCTCCTAAATGAGGCCATCAAGCTGTGACCTGATTGACAGGCTAGACTCCACCCCCTCTCAAATTGACAGGAGATAATGTAACTGCCATAGGGGTTAAGTCACTTCCCCAAGATCTGGCTGTTAGTGAAGTGCTGCTTAGCGCTGAAACACATCTGGCACCCGACCCCTTGCCTCCGACTCCTGTGTTATCCTGGCCGACTGCCACCGAAGGGATTACTTCTGACAGTCACCTGGGATCGTTGGGGCTGTGGGTCTTGACGTAAATTAAAGTTAAGTATGTTAACACCATGTTTTCCTCATCTTTTCATTTTAGGACCTCAGCGATGCCCTTGGAATCAGTATTGCTGGAGGAAAAGGAAGTCCCTTAGGAGACATCCCTATATTTATTGCCATGATTCAGGCCAGTGGAGTGGCAGCACGTACACAGAAGCTCAAAGTAAACATGAGGGGAACAAATGGGTGAAGTGCTGACAGTGTGTAGCGGTGGGGGTGTGGGGTTTGCAGTCTTTAACAGTTTGTTTAAAATCTGAATTCTGGTAGCCATCAGAGACCCACTTTGAGGGCAAAATGCATCACAGAAACTCCCATTGGGTCTCTGGGCATATATTAAAATGTTATTGTGTGTATCAGGCATCTCACTGAAAGAAGAGACAGCTCATTTACTAAGTGCTCCCCTCTACACTCTTTTTACCACCTCATTCCACCCAAAGTGGATGCTTTTTTCCACTTGCCCCTTATGCTTAACTTAGCTAGAAAGAAACATAAAAAATACTTGGCTTCCTCACTAGTGCATTATTAAGCAGTTAATTTGTCCACCCTGCTATGACTGGTAAATGGATGTTTGAAACACCACCATTGCCAAAATACAAAAGTAATCTACTATGCTTTTAAGAAACCAGATCTTTTCCAATTGGTCCATTTTTGGGGAAAGCCACAAAAATTCTGCATGTTTCTGGAACATGCACACAGTAGAAACACAGAATCTTCACAATGGCTGCGAGTGGGACTATGACTTACCAAGAATTTTAAGCAGCCTTCTCAAATTTAATTTTTCTTCACCATAGTGATTTTCTACCACTCTTGTACTTCTAGGTTGGAGATCGAATTATCAGCATTAATGGGCAACCTTTGGATGGGCTGTCTCACGCGGATGTGGTGAATCTGCTAAAGAATGCCTATGGGCGCATTATCCTTCAGGTACTGCGGTCACTGGGACTCACAGCTGCATGAGGCAGATAAGTGGCATGCCAAAAAGATGGAGTGTCCCTGGCAGGAGGCATCACCGTGCAGCAGGGCGCTTGCTGATGTGAATTATGAAGTGGGAAAGCAAGAAATTATTGTTTTTATTCAGAAATTCTTTAATGCCACCCATCCAGGCAGTGAGCATGACTACATGAAAGCACAAGGGGAGAAAAATTCCTCTTTGCTTCATGTGATAAATCAGCAAGGCTTTTTTCACACCCAGTTTTCTTTTGTAAATCAAAGTTTGCAACGAATAGGAAATGATGTTTTCTTTTTACTGTCCCAGACTGTTAGTGAACTGCCCGTGCGCTGTTTTTCCCCTCTCCCTTTAAAAGGAGAAGCACGATGCTCCCTTTAGCATCATAGAAGTGATTCCCACCACCGCAGTGCAGTCATCAGCTAAGGCAGACAATTCCTTATCAGCTGGGGTCCCCAAGAGTATTGTCTAGAGCCACAGGGACATATACTAGGGAGTGAAAGCTGCCTGTGTGGGAAACTCTCTGGTCTGACTCCCCAGCCTCCCAACGTCTCTGAGATGGGCACACTTCACGATTGAGAGGCAGCATGTTGGCAGTGAGGGCCACTCAGTGTCCCTCACCATCCTTCTGCAGAGGTGCTCAAAGATGGCCGATGGGTTAAAAGAGTAAAACTCACCATTCTGCAGCTCAGTGAGAGGGCTAGCCAGCCACTCAGATAATCCTAGCCATAAAATAAGAAGTTTGAATTTGAAAATCATTACATTTGGGAGACCAAATTTGTGGTGCTTCTAGCAACTTAATTCCAAAATACCAAAGCAGTCATTCAGAAGGTGGATTGGTTAGCAGCATTTAGCCATGAAGGTACTGTTAGGAAAGCATTGGAATGCTAACCACAAGGTTGGTGGTTCAAACCCACCAGCTGCTCCTTAGGAGCAAGATGAGGCTATCTGCTACAGGAAAGATTTACAGCCTACCCTCACCCCCCCAAAAAAAAAATTAAGAAAAGATTAAAGATTTTTCACTAAAAGATTTGACTAAAGGATGGGAGTGGAAGGAGGGAAGAAAGAAGATACAGGCTGTAGAGGATAAGCTCAATGCTGGTGTAGCAACAATGAAACATGCAACTTTCCTCTAGCTCTTAAATGCTCCCTCCCCCTAACTATCATGATCCCAATTCTACCTTACAAATCTGGTTAGACCAGAGGATGTACACTGGTACAGATAGGAACTGGAAACACAGGGAATCCAGGACAGATGAACCCCTCAGGACCAGTGGTGAAGTGGTGATACCAGGAGGGTGGAGGGAGGGTGGGGTGGAAAGTGGGAACTGATTACAAGGATCTACATATAACCTCCTCCCTGGGGGACAGACAACAGAAAAGTGGGTGAAGGGAGACGTCTGACAGTGTAAGATATGACAAAATAATAATAATTTATAAATTATCAAGGGCTCATGAGGAATGGGGCGGCGGGGAGGGAGGGGGAGAATGAGGAGCTGATACCAAGGGCTGAAGCAGAAAGCAAATGTTTTGAGAATGATGATGGCAACAAATGTACAAATGTGCTTGACACGATGGATGGATTGTGATAAGTTGTATGCGCCCCAATAAAATGAATTTTAAAAAGCAACAACACAAAACTCCCTGCTGTTGAGTTGATGCTAACTCATAGCGACCCTATAGGACAGGGCAGAACTGCTCCTGTGGGTTTCTGAGATGTAACTCTTTGTGGGAGTAGAAATCGCTGTATTTCTCCTTCAGAACTTGTAATCTCCTCTACAGGGGAGGATAGGCAGGTGTAATTTGGGCGAAGAGGAAAACAGTATCCTGCGAGAGGGAGGTGGGGAGGGGAGAGTGAAGGAAATAGGGCAAGACCTTCAGAGGCTTGATGAGTTGCTGAAGGTAAAACTGATGATCTGTTCTGTATCCTTCACCCAATTCACAGTAGAAAGTTTTTAAAAAAAGAAAGGTGTACAGCTGGAAAGCCACACAGAGACTCACTAATGAGCTGGAATCAGCTCCATGGCAGTGGGTGTAAATACTGTGGCCTGGTCATTGATGCCACTTTTCTCCAACTGTTCGCTCTTGGAAACTTGCGGAGCTTCTCGCCCTCATTCCTCCGCCCCACCTCCACCCCTGCCTCCGCCGTGGCCTGAGCGGACAGGCCCTTTGCTGTTTAGTCTGCTGTGCATGCTCTTCCTTCGACTCCTGCTGAGCCCTAGAGGCACTATGAACAAACGCTTCAGTTTCAGAGGTGGGGACCCTTAGCCATACAGGCATTTGAAGAGGCAGTAACTTCAGATGATGGTGACCATGGAAAGAAAAAACGTGTCTTTTCCAACAAAATTCAGTGCTATTGATAATTTCATGCTCTGGTATAGATTGTTCAGCTTTCTGTTCCTCACTCTCCCCCCGTCCCCACCAAGTAAGAGCAAGAAGACAGTTTGAAGTAATAATAGCTAAATATAAAAAAATATCTAAAATGACAATGATCTCAGGGTTTCCCGTGGAGCGTTAACACAAGTTCAGTCTCATTGTCAGTGATAATGTACTGTGGAGGGAGCTCTTTATTTATCCTCTCTCTGTGTTTTACCAATGGTACTTGGTTTCAAAATACTCCGGCATGTAACCACATTAGCTGGCGGCAGTGTTTTGTAATGTGTGCACTTGGAAGATGGACGGAACCCTTTGGGACGTTAACAGTTGTACATTTGGATAGGGAACAGATGTGTGACCAAAGGCCTTAGACATAAAACCCAAGAAGCACAAGTCTTCCATCAAATGCCTCTTAGTTACATGGTGCGTTGTAATGAAAACAACGTGCATGGAGGAGACCATCACTATAATGGGCACAACTGACTTGTCGTTAGGTAATTACTTCTATGACCAGGACAGACCGTCCATTGGCAGAGCAGTAGGAAAGGTCAGATAATTATCTGATGATGTGGAAGCGACTTACCGGCAGTGTGTCATGCAGAGCAGTCAGCCAGCACCGATTGCCCACTGAACACTGCGATCCCAGGGAGTGGGGGAGTGGACTACTGGAAGAGAGCAGGAAAGCCGAGGCTACCAGTATTTCCACAGTTTGAATGGCTGCCTCTAGTTGTGACAAGGTAAAAATGTCTTCCCTTAACCTCTAATCAAGCCCTGGTGCTATAGTGGGTTTGCATTGGGCTGCTAACTTCAAGGTCAACAATCAAACTACCAGCCTATCCTCGGAAAAAAGATAGGACTGCCGACTCCCGTAAAGATCTCGTCTCAGGAACTCACAGGGGCAGTTCTACTCTGCCCTGTGGGATCACTAAGTCAGAATCAGCTCAGGGGCAGCGAGAGCGAGTAACAGCTTAGGCATGAACTCTGGCAGTTTCTTAGATTCAATTATAGATCGGCCCATTGAGATTGATTTGGCTGCTTGGGATCGTTTTAAATTAAGGTGACCAGATTTTAACATTGGTAAAGCGGGACACCATTGATAAAACTCATATCTTGGCAAAATAGCCACATAGCAGCCGAAAAGCGTATACCATTGCTTATCGTGCATTCTTTCCAAAAATCAGGACTTTTTAAAAACGCCGTGGGATGTGGGAAAAATTGTTAAAAATCGGGACTGTCCCCCCAAAAGCAGGACGTCTGGTCACCTTATTTTAAATATTCCCTGTTGCAGTCGCTTTTTGGCCCTAGTTTAGCTCCCCTCTGTGAACTTACATCTGGAGATGTTCCTAAAATTCAGGTGAGATTACACTCAAGGCTGTATTTTGGCTCTTGTGAACTTGTTTTAATTTTCTCCAGCTTCAACCGTCACTTACATATGAGCAATTAATGGTCTGTTTCATGGTCAACCCCTAGCCTCATTTTAGCTGCTGTTCCTGCACTTCTCACCAGATATGAGAGGGTACCCCCCCCAAAAAAAAAAAAAACAGGGAAAAGCTCTGCTGCATGAAGCTTTCGAAGTACGCCTTTTCCCCGCTAGGTGAGCATCAAGCAACTCGCTTTGAGTTAGTGCACCGTGTAGCATAGCCTGGGAAGGTTCTCTCTGGTGACTGAAGTTTTTCCGTAAAAACAGTTTCACTCGAACCTCATTTTTTGTGATGGTCAATTTAAGAGAACAGCTTGAGGCTTTCCTACTTGGGGTGGGGGTCGGGGGGGTGCCACAGAAACTGTTGTGATGTTGAACACAGCTTACAAGGACAGCGCTATGGAAAAAACTCAAGTGTCTGAGTGGTTTTCTTGTTTCAAAAAAGATGAAATGTTGATTGATGATAAACCTCATTCTCGAAGTCCATCAAATTCCCAAAAGGACAAAAATGTCGACTTGTAGTGCATTTGGAGTTTGTTCTACCAGGTAAGACTGTTAATCAAGCTTTCTATTTAGAGGTTCTGAAAAAAATGGCATAACACTGCGACCAAAAAGGCCTGATTTGTGGCAGACTGGGACTGGTTTTGCCACCACAACAATGAACCTGCCCATGTAACCATCTCAGTGTGACAGTTTTTGACAAAACACAGCATGCTTCTCTTGCCCCACACCCCTGACTCACCTGACCTAGCTCTGTGCGACTTCTTTGTTTCCTTGAATGAAAAGGGACATGAAAGGACAGCCATTTAACAATGTAGAAGAGGTGAAGCAAAAACAACAGAGGTGCTGTCAGCCATCCAAACAGATGAGTTTGAAAAATGTTTCCAAGAATGGAATCACAGATTTGACAAATGTATTAAGTGTAATGGAAAGTACTTTGAAGGTGATAAGTAAGGTTGTTTTATAAAAACATTTAAGTACATAGCTCTGGGAAAAAAAACTTCTGGTTGTTTGGGAAGGTCCCCCCTCATGTAGCCAATTTGATTTCTGTGTGTTCCATCTGGAGACGTCCCTGTCTAGAGTCATCATTTGTAGTGTTGGAAAAAGAAATGAAGAAACCATTGGTCTTGCAAAATTCTACCGGGCATTCTTTGTTCCTTCCTCTTTGTTCCAACATTTGCA